CATCGGCCTGCGGTCCAGAGAGACCCGGGTACGGTTCCCACTAAGGGCGCGTATCTTGGTTGCAGTTTGTCCCCGGCCCTGGTTGGGTCATGCGGTTGGGAGCCACTCGATGTGTACCTTGCACGTCGATGTTTCTCTCTTCCTCTCTCCTCCTCCCACTCTGTTTGAACAGAAAATGGAAAAATGTCCTCAGGTGAGGATAAAAAAAAAAAAAAAAAGAGTGGGAGGGAGAGGATAGGATGGGGCAGGAAGGGACAAGTCTCGATGCATTAATTCACCTCAGCCAAGGGAAAGCCCCTAAACAGGTGGCTTAACTCGAAGGTACAACATATGGCCCTTTGATCAAAATTTCTATTCTTGTTTTCAAGAGGATCTTGAAACAGACACATACCATCTCACCTCAAGCCCTTTTGAAATGACACATTAGTGATTAGTTAACACAACAGCAAGATTTGACAATTATCTGAGAAAAAATGAGGCTGCGAGAAGGTGCCAGAGAGAAGAAAAGGGAACCGAGTGGGGAAACCCTCTAAACAAATGTCACTGATTTCAAAAAGAGTTTAGGGCCAGCCCTGCCTGTGCCAATCAAAAGCATAATGATTTACAAGTATTTAACTGATTAACTAATCATCACTTGGAAAATACAAGATCTATACATTATCTGCAGTAGAAAGATGGATTACAAGGTGGGGCAGAGAAGGAAGTACCTTGAGCTAGGATGTGGCAAAGAACTGTGCTGAAAGCAATCGGTGTGTTTTGCATTTTAGAACTCCACATAAACTATTTATAGTTTGTGCATGTCTGACCAACTAAATGATGAAACCCTGGAGGACATGTATCTATTTCATAACTCTGGGACCTTGCTCAGTGCCCTACACATAGAAGATACTCAACAGATATTGTTGATTGTGATTGTAAACATACAGTTGCATAAGGGAGTGGAGAGAATGAAACAGAAAGGAAGTAAGAGTTAGATGAAAATGTTGGCTACTCTGTAAGTTTACCTAAGGACAGTTTGTTTTGAAGACAGCTCTCCTTTCATTTAAAGTTGTACAATGGCAACAATAGTGTACATTCACATAGTTTGAACTCTTGGTATATAACCTTATCAAAAGCCTGGAGATACTCTCACAATCAGTGGTGAGAGTGTAAACCGGTACAACCTCTCTAGGGGGCAATGTATTTATTTACCCAATATTACAAATGCAAATACATTCAAGGTTATTTGTTGTAGCATTGGTTTCAATATTAAGTGACTGGAAACAACCCAAATATACATCCACAGGAAACTATTTAAATAAATGATGGTGTAAACACACAATGAAATATTGTGCCACTGTAAATAAGAATGAGCCCTGCCCAGGTGGCTTGGTTGGTTGGAGTGTTGTCCCAGACACCAAAAGGTTGTAGGTTTGATTCCCAGCCAGGGTACATACTTAGGTTGTGGGTTCAAGCCCTGATTGGGGCAAATAAAGGAAGCAACCATCAATGTTTCTCTCTCACATCAATGTTTTTTTCTCTCTCTCCTCCTTCCTCTCTCTAAAAAATTTTTTTTTAAATATGAGGAAGTTCTCTAAGAATTAATGCAGAAAGATCTCCAAATCATACTGTTAAGTGAGAAAGCAAACAAGGACAGTCTATTTAATATCCTATCTTTTGTCTAAAGAGGGAGTATAAAAATCTATATTCATGATTGTTCAAAATTGCATTAAAAACCTCTAGAGGGATGCCCAAGGATCTAAGAACAGTGGTTGCCTAATAGGAAGTAATGGGAGTGGGAACTGAGCAGATGGGAGGCAAAAATGCAGGAGAGACTTTTCATAATCTTTAGTTTTCCAATCATGAAAATGTATTTTTTTTAATCCTTCCATTGATTTTTTTGAGGGAGCAAGGGAGAAACATCATGTTAGAGAGACACATGGATTGATTGGTTGCCACCCGCACGACCAACCAGGGCCGGGGACAAACTGCAACCAAGGTACATGCCCTTAGTGGGAACCCAACCCAGGTCTCTCCAGACCACAGGCCGATGCTCCAACCAGTGAGCCAAACCGGCCAGGGCAGGGTGAAATGTATTTTTAAGCAAACACATAGACAGCACTTACAGTGTGTCAGCCACTGTTGCAAGCCATTTAGAATTAGTAACTTGTTTATTATAATTTCTGTCTCTTAGATGCCTTTTTTATCTTCCAAAATAATGTGATCTCTCAGCACTTTGAATATCTATAGTACTTTTATTTCTATTGAGATACATCGTATTCTTTACTTCGTTATAATCATTGCATGTTATCATTATGTAAAACAACAGAAATAATAATGCATATTAGACGTGTATATGAGTATAATTACCTATTGGATAAACATTGTCTATAATGATAATTACAGGTTACAAGTTACTTCCTAAGAACTTGGAATTGAAAGAAAAAAGAATGTCTTCTGAGACTAAGAGGCAAGATTAATGAGTGTATGTATGATGGAAATGGCTGAGATGGCAGTCTTAGGAAAGGGAGAGGCTACCAGCACTCCTTTGCACAAGCTGTTCCCTCTGCCTGCAACTCCCACCTCCCTTAACCCCTTCAGGCGTGGGTCCAGGGTTACTTCTTGAGGGAAACCTTCTCTAACCTCCCTGCTAGGTCAAAGCCTCATTATAGCATCTGGATTTCTTCTTAGAACTTACATTACATTCAACATTGGTATGTGCAATTACTGCTATATGCGTTCTTTACCAGACTGTAGCTCCAAGAGGGAAGAGGTGGGTTTGTTCACCACTGTCACCCCAGTACCTACCTCCAACAGAGTAGGCCCTAGTACTCTTGGATGCATAAGAAAGAAAATGTTTCCTAGAGGACGGGGGAGAGCTGGCAAGCCTTAGAAGAAAAAAGAAGAGGCAAAATGTGCATCTAGCAGCTGAATCACTGGACTCTACTGACTCCTACAATTACATATCCCATTTATACCAGTATATACATAATAAATATACATAGATATGGTTTTTAAAAATTCTTCCCTTTCCTATCAATAATTATTACTTTTTTTTTTTTTTTTAATCGGTGGGCAAGATCTCTTTTGCCTTTCACTCATTTTTGCTTTCCCAAGAAATTCTAAGTTCCCTTGAATGCCAAATCAGGAGGGTTTCGCTGGGCTTCCCAAGATTCTACCCACCCCCTCAACTTCTCCAAGAAAAAGTGGCTTTCAGTTCCCCATACAAAAATTGTTCTCTTTTTTTTCCCAAGAGTTGTTCGTAGGTGTAGACTTCCCCAAAGTCAGGTCCGCGTGGGCTTCAGCGAGCCCCTTTCCAGCCAATGATGGCTCCGTGTCACGGCCCAGGGCGCAAGTCACGGAGGGGACCTTTCTCGACAATCAGTTTCTTCACTAAGTTTTATTTTGGGCAGTACTGGGAGATTTTTTTTTTTCAAGGTTGCCGGCAGGACGGGCGCCCGGGTGCTCGGAGGCACCTCCCACGACCGGACCCCGCAGGGCGGCGGAGCCGGCTCCCCGCGGGGCCAGCGCGCTCGGCCGGGCGCTCGTGGCGGTCACGTGGGCCTGCGGCGGCCAATGGGGAGCGCGCACGGCCCGAGCGTCTGCAGCGCTGCAGCGGCCCGCGCCCCGGCGAGGCTCCGAGGGGAGGCAGCGGGAGGCGAGGAAACCCCGCGCCCGATTACCCCAGCTTTGGCGTTCTCGATGCCAAAGTTAAGTGCGTGTCCCTCTCACACCGCCTCTTTCAGCTTGCACATCCCCATGTCTTCAGCGGTATCCTAAAGCGTAAGGGGGAACCGTGCGCGGAGGCCACGGGAGGCTCCCACCCCTGAGTGGGACCCGCCGGACTAAGGTGCCGGTCACAAAAAAGATTTGACATACGGAGTAAAACGAGAGGACTAGGCACGAAGACAAACGTGTGGATTAGGTTGCAGGCTGTTACTCTATATTAAAGGAAGTAGCATTATTCTTCACTCTTTCTCCTTTAGAGGGAAACTGTTAGGGAAGCATCTGGGGTAAGTGTGGGACCCGCCCGCAGGGCGCCTCGGAAGGTACCCCTGCCTGTGAGGATGAGCGCTGGAGTGCGCGAAACCTACTGGGAAAAGTTGACAATAAAATGTAAGTTCTAGAATAGGAATGATTGCACAACTCTGTGAATATACTAAAGTCCACTGAATTGTGCGTTTTAAAAGGTTGAACTTTATAGTGTATGAATTGCTTCTCAATTAAAAATATATCTTATTCGCAGGTGACAGAATCTCAGGCTTTGAAAATTGTTGACACCTGCGCTAATGAAAATTCAATATTTAAGTCAATTGAGTTCTTTCTGGAAAACGGATACCAGATTTGATATGGCGGCCAGAGACCATCACAGTGCTTAAAATTTCCACTTTCTCAGTGGCATGTGATTCTTTTAAAATTGGAGAAGAGTTTGAGATTAGTTTTAATAACAGCTTTCACGTGTCTAGTATATTTTAATCTAAACGTCTAAAAATCCATACATTTGACGCAAACACTCTTTAACGCTCTTCGAAACATAAGACTTTAATTTTCCACCAGGCTAGGATATTTAGGAATCATACAGTTTTTCAAAACAAAGTTTCAGGTTTATCTTTCTGTCAGTTCTTTCCTGTATTGGCAAAATCAAGAAGAAATCTAACTGAATATTTCCTACGTTAAGAATATAGACATTGTCAGGTCCAGTTTAAAGACAAGTTTTTGTTTAAAGACAAGTTTTTCTTAAAAGATCAATTTGATCTACTTAAGTTGCTTTGGGATCATCTTAATTAATTGTCACAGCAATGATTCAGGGCGAATAGAACTAAGAAATGTAATACCATGAAGCAAAGAGCAAAGTCAGTTTTAGATTTTTAGCACGTAGAACTTTGATGAATATAGATTTACCACTAACTTCTTACAGTTAATGTTTAAGTAATCTATTGAATGCCCAATTTGTGTCCTTAATTCCAAGAAAAATACATGCTCGGTAGAATATTTATTTTAATTTAATATAAATATCTTACCTGGGTTCCTTGACATGGCTGAAACTAGCTGGTTGCTGGCAAGTCTGGTCATGTGTGCCTTCTGAAAACTGTATTTCACCCACAGTGATTTGCAACAATTTGTTACTTTGGAAGAGGGATTCAGGAGTTCTTTAGATTCACAAACAATGGTATTAATTTTTTTCTTCATGTTTTTTCCCTGTTGAAAAATATATTTTCAGAGGATTTCTCTCGTTTCTCAGTATATATTAGGTATGTTAAATGAATATTGATATTCTAACAATACAAGCAGCCTTTATTCCATATATAAAAGGGTTATGGATTTGGGTGGAAGATGGAACAGGGTGATCTCTGAGGTCTCTTTCAACTTAGATAAACATCTTTCTGTTACTTGGTTTTTAGATCTGCTACACCACCCCACATCTGCATCTCCCAGCAGCTTTTGTTCATCTTTTCAATAGCCATATTCCCTCAACCGAACAGTCTAAATTAGTAAACACAGAAAAAGAGGACCCACAATCTTGGTGTATCTGTACGATGCTCTTCCCTTGACTTAAAGGTTTGCCACAGAGTTTGACTTTCTATTTTACCTTATAAATCTAAGCAGTTACTGGAAAGAAAAGGAATGGATAAGAGAGGTCACACTGTGAAGAACAACTAAAGAAGGTAACAGAGGAGGGCTTCGAGAGCCATAGATCAGTGCTAGCCAGTAAAAATGAATGAATCACATGGAATTTTTTTTTTTCTTTACTGACTTTTGGAGAGGGAGAGAGAGACAGAAACATCAATGAGAGAGAACATCAATTGGCTGCCTCCAAATGCCCCCCACTGGGGATCAGGCCTACAACCTGGGCATGTGCCCTGACCAGGAACCGAACCAGTGACCTCTTGGTGCATGGGTCAACACTCAACCACTGAGCCACACCGGCCAGGCGTAATTTTAAGTTTTCCAGTAGCTACATTAAAAGGTAAAAGAGCCCTGGTCAGTTTGGCTCAGCAGTTAGAGCGTTGGCCTGTGGACCAAAGAGTCGTGGGTTCGATTCTACATACCTTGGTTGAGGTTTGTCCCTGGCCCTGGTCGGGGTTGTGCAGGAGGCAACCAGTCAATGTGGCTCTCTAACATCAATGTTTCTGTCTCTCCCTCCTACCCACTCTATTTGAAGATAAATAGAAAAATATCTTTGGGTGAGGATTAAAAATAAATAAATAAATAAATAAATAAATAAATAAGTAAAATTCATTTTAGTAAGTTTTTTTTACCCAAATATATCCAAAATAAATCCAAAAGTTATCATTTCAACAGGTAATCAATATAAACATTATTAATGAAATATCTTATATTCTCATTAAAGTAAGTCTTCAAAATCTGCTATGTGTCAGTTTGGACTAGCCACATTTCAGATGCTCAGTAGCTACATGAGGTTAGTGACTACTGTATTAGACAGTGTATAGAGTAAAGCTGTACATCGGCTTTAGAGGAAGAAGCAAAAATTGAAAAGAAATTTGAGAAAAAGGCAATAAACAGTTATCTCAGCAATATAAACTAGGGCAAAGGAAATCAGATAGAATTCTGACTAATCATTTTTCAAATGTACCACATTTTCCGGTGTAGTATGCTACTTCAATATTTTGATTATTGCAATTTGAGCCAGATTAAGGGAGAGAGAGCTGTAGGGTGGAGAGTTGTGACTTCCTCAGCATTTTTGGTGCCTTGCACAGCCTGACATTTTAACTATACTCATCAAGCAACTTTCTGAACTTAATTTGATTTCTCAAGTAAAGTTTCCACTGCGAAAAAGGTATGTTCTCCAGCTAATCCATCAGAGCCAGATCAGCCCCAAATAAAATTATTAAATTATTAAATGGGCAAAGTTCATCATCAAAATGCAGTTACTAGGTGAGGTTCTTATCTGAAAGAGCCATCTAACAGCTTTACCCATCAGCCCGCTGTGAAATTGTCACATGGCATTGCTAGATATCTGAAGAAAATATCTAACCAAGGTCGTTTAAAGTAAATGACCAAGAATGTTGAACTTGCCCTGCCTGTGAACCAAAGATTCGTGGGTTTACTTTCCAGTCAAGGGCACCTACCTGGGTTGCAGGTTCAATCCCTAGTCCCAGTCAAGGTTGTTTGGGAAGCAACCAATCAATGTGTCTCTCTTATATGAATGTTTCTCTCTCTCTCTCTGTTTCTCTCTCTCTCTCTCTCTCCACCCCCTCCCTCCCTCTCTCTCTCCCTTCCACTCTATCCTCCCTCTCTTCTACTCTATGTAAAAACCCGGAAAAATATATCCTCAGGTCAGGATTAACAACAAAAAAATGTTTAACTTGATCTTCCCCAAATAGGTTGTTTTTTAAAAAATATTTTTTCTTTATTGATTTTGGAGAGGGAGGAAAGGAGATGGGAGAGATATAGAAACATCTATGAGAAAGAACATTGACTGGCCACCTCCTGCATGCCCCCCACTGGGGATCAGGCCCACAGCCTGGGCATGTGCCCTGACCTGAAATCGAACTGGTGACCTCTTGATGTATGGGTCAATGCCCAACCACTGAGCCACACTGGCTGGGCCCAAATAGGTTTTTATTATAATTTTCCCAAACAGTTCTGCAGGATGTTAAGAGGTATTTATTGAAAAAAATAAATCAATGCTAATTATATTTTTCACCTAAAATGTACTTCTAAATATATGTAATAAAAACACTTCTCTAGTTGTTAGTATTATTAGATAATTGCCTTTAGGAAATGGTGTGCCTACCTGAAAATACCAGGAAATCCCAGGATTCATGAAAGCATGATAATGGATTTGCATGTGGAAGCCTAGGCAACCATTGAGCTGATATATGTGGTCTATTTAACAATCATTGGTTTATGTTAGTTATCTTGTCTTACTATTCCAACATATAGATGATATTTTTCACTTAATAAAGTTATTTTTATCTATTTGTTTGAAGGTTGTTCTGATATAAGTTTAAAATATTTGCCTGGCTGGTGTGGCTCAGTGGATTGAGCATCATCCCATGGACTGAGAGGTCCCACTTCAATTCCTGGTGGGGACACATGCCCTGGTTTCGGGCTGATCCCCAGTAGGGGGTGTGCAGGAGGCAGCCAATCGACGTTTCTCTTCACATCAATGTTTCTATCTCTTTCTTCCTTCCTCTCTCTCTATAAAAATAAATAAAAACATTTTTAAAAGTTTGAGTGAAGTTTTTATCATTTCTTTCAGCAATTAATTCATCTGTGGGTTCACATTTTACTGTCTACATGTGGGAGTCTAAATAATGGCCCTCCAAAAATGTCCACATCCTAATCTCCAGGATTTGTGAATATTTTACCTTATGTGGCAAAATGGAGTTTGCAGATATAATTAAATTAAGGCTGTAGACGCAGAGATTATCCTGTATTATATGAGCCCACCCTAATCATATGGGTCCTTACAAGAGGGGGGCAAGAAGTTCAGACTCAGAGAAGACATTACAGTGGAAGTAAAGGTCAGAGTGATGAGAAAGTCTCTAAGAGCCAAGCAATGCAGGCGACCTCTATTAAAGGCAAGGAAACTGAAGAATGCAACCCTGAAAGTATAGGGGTAGAAAAAAAGTTTCCAAGCCAATGGAAATGAAAAAACAGCTGGTGTAGCATACTCATATTTGATAAGATAGACTCTAAAACGAGGGCCATAATAAGAGACAAAGAAGGTCACTACATAATATTACAAGGATCAAAACAACAAGAGGATATAACACTAGTAAACATATATGCACCAAATACAGGAGCACCAAAATACATTTTAAAACTTTTGGAGGACTTCGAGGGAGAGATCAATAGCAATACAATCATAGTGAGTGACTTTAATACCCCACTGACACCACTGGATAGATCTTCTAGACAAAAAATTAACAAGGACACAGAGTCCTTAAATGACGAACTAGATCAGTTGGACTTAATTGATATTTATAGAACATTTCACCCCAAAGCTGCAGAACACACATTTTTCTCAAGTGCAAACAGGACATTCTCGAAGACCACATGTTAGGACACAAAGTAAGTCTCTACAAATTCAAGAAGATTTAAATCATATCAAGCATCTTCTTAGGTCACAGTGACATCAAACTAAAAATCAATTACAACAAAAACATTCAAACACTTGGAGGCTAAATAACATGTTATTAAACAATGAATGGGTTACCAAGGAACTCAAGGAAGAAATGTAAAGATTCCTAGAAACCAATAAAAACAAACACGCAACAACACATAATGTATGGGACACAGCGAAAGCAGTCCTGAGAGGGAGGTTCATAGTACTACAGGCCTACCTCAAGAAACAAGAAAAATTTCTAGTTGACTTTCTAACCCTACAACTTAAAGAACTAGAAAGTAAACAAAAAGAAAAACCCAGAGCAAGTAGAACGAAAGAAATAGTAAAGGTCAGAGCAGAAATAAACGACATAGAAACTAAAAAAATAAAAATTTCAAAAGATAAATGAAACAAAGATCTGGTTCTTTGAAAAGATAAACAAGATTGATGGACCCTTAGCCAGACTCACCAAGAGACAAAGAGAGGACCCAAATAAACCAAATCAGAAAAGAGGAGAAGTAATAACTGACACCACAGAAATACAAAAGATCATCAAAACATACTATGATCAATTGTACGCCAACAAATTTGGACAATCTAGGTGAAATGGACAAATTTCTAGAAACACACAGTCTCCCAAAACTGAACCGGGAAGAGATAGAAAACTTGAACAGACCAATAACACCTAAGGAAGTTGAAGATGTAATCAAGAAACTCCCAGCAAACAAAAGCCCAGGCCGGGATGGCTTCACAGGGGAGTTTTACCAAACATTCAAAGAAAATCTAACACCCATTCTCCTCAAACTATTCCAAAAAATCCAAGAAGATGGAAGACTTCCAAACTTATTTTATGAGGCCAGCATAATCCTAATTCCAAAACCAGATAAAGACACTACAAAGAAAACTGCAGACCAATATCCCTGATGAATACATATGCCAAAATCCTTAACAAAATATTAGCAAATTGGCCCCGGCTGGTTTGGCTCAGCGGTTAGAGCATCAGCCCTCGAACCAGAGTGTCCCGGGTTCAGTTCCCACTAAGGGCATGTACCTCAGTTGCAGTTTGTCCCCGGCCCCGGGTTGGTAGTGTAGGTGGCAGCCAGTCAACATGTCT